ATTTAAAAATAATTTTCTATGGTTCTATATAGAATCATGAACACTCACAGAACCATATCCATGCTTAAATAGTTCTTTGCATGGTGAAATGGTTCTTCAGATTGATGGAGAATGTGTTATAGTTCTATATGGAGCCTTTTTGAAAAGGGTTCTGTATAGCACCAAAAAGTGTGACATCTTGACATCATAACATCAGCAGAACCCTGTTTGATTCATATACAACACATTCTCCATCAATCTAAAGAACCATTTTATCATGCAAAGAATGCTTTAAACATGAAAGTGGTTCTTTGAGTGTTTTATGGTTCTATGTAGGACCGTTGTCTTTAGTAAAGAACCCTTAAAGAACCATTATTTTGAGAATGTATAGTGTAACAAATTCAAAAAACAATAATTGATATAGTAATAATATCAATATACTACTAATTAACATAGATGTATATACATATCACTGCTGTCGGAACAAAACCCAGTATCTCCAAGATGGTAACTTTACACAAGAAGGAAAAAACCCACTTCACGTTTAATGGAAGTCAATGGAACCAGACTTTTTTCCCCCCCCAAGTCATTTTGGGTTGTTTCTTTTGGTCCATTCATCATGAAATTTACACATAATGTAAAGAACAACAGGCATTTTCAAATTATGTAATAAACTGAAAAACTAGGTTTTCTTCCAGCAGCAGTGAAATATACATCCATATAAATATATAAATGTATTTGTAACAGCTGACTGAAATCTGCTCAGACTGCGGCTCGTATTCAGTAAGTGACGTATCTAAACAAACCAGAATCACAGTTTTATTAAATAAAAATGAATTTAGTTACAAACGTGTATTATTTAGTTCTCTGAAGACCTAGCAGACCCTCAGTGCCCCCTCTGCATCAATGTTCATTCAGGTTAAGAATGATTAGGAACTTTTGGTCAAATTTTACTGGTAAAAAAAGAGAAATCATAAATCATTGCTGTGATAACCAAGCAGCGTATCTCCAACACGGGCATCACTCAGCGCTCCTGACGGCTCAGACTGGGTGATACTGTGCTTTGTGTGATGTTTTGTCTGGAGGTGTCTTCAGTCGTCAGTCCTGTGTTGCTTTAAGAGCAGATCTCCTCAGTGTCTCAGTCTCAGAGACAGTCAGTGGTCAATGTGACGGTGTTGGACAGCTCTGCGTGGTGGCCTTGCTGTGTGAATGTGTGTTTTACCGCTGTGTGTTGAGGATTAGCCGACCTCCACTCTTCCTGTCTGAAGCCTGGAGGAGCCTGAAGGAATATGTGTCAGACGCTGCCTGTCAGAAAGCCCCTCGGACCCCTCAGCTCCGGCTCTGAGGCTCAGCACTACCTGAGAGTTTATAAAGACAGGAGTTAAATGTGCAGTTAGGGACGCTCAATGATATCAGAATCAGTATCGAGATCAGCAGATAATTGCTTAAAAATGATCAGTATCTGACGGAGGTTTAGATTTCAGACTGATATTTGATGATGGTTGTTTTGAGCTTGATGAGCTGAATGTTTAGGTAACACTGCGTTACTGACAGAGGTGATTAGGAACCAGGGCTGGGATGGAGTACAATAGATATTCAGATATTCAGTACTGAATAGATGTTCAGAATACAGAAATAAAGTATCTGTATTCAGTCACATTTAGAAAAGGCTGTACTCAGAATACTTTTTACAGTTTTAGGTGAATACTTTTAGAATACTTACCCACTAAATTTAAAAAACACACCATCTTCCAAAGAAACACCATCAGTGCTTGTTAACTATTTTAAAGTTTTAAATGTAAAGACTTAGTCTAAAGAAGAACTTGATTTACAGCTTCTTTACAAACATGGAGGTTCCTACTAAACCCTGAGTAGACTAATAAATCACTGTGATGACCAGTTAAAAAAAATAAATACAATAATAATAATAATAATAATGTTATTGAATTACTGAAAGTAATAAATACATTCAGATGAAGCTTATTTTGTCCACTCATACAGACATAACACCATGTACTGCTTTAGAAATGGAGACAGTCTTTCTTCAGGGTCTAATTAGAGCAAATAAGTAACTGTTATTCACTAAATTATGAACAGTTTTAATCGTCTGACAACTCTTTTGTCCCAAATGTGGTTTAAACGCCTGAAAGTTTTGAGATTTGAGTAAAATGTGTGGCCTTTGGCTCCATTCCCAACAGTGTTTCTTCATTTGTGCATTTTTCCAAAGAAAAATGTCAGAATCCAAGCATTTTCTTAAATATGTTATTTTCAGATATTACATTATTACAAATTTTGCATTAAAATATTTTGAAAAACGTTTTGAGTGCTGGATCAGAATAAAAAATGCAAACTCTGCAGGCCCTTCAAGGACCCAATTGAGAACCTCTGCGCTACTTGACACTTTAACCCCTCCCTTTTCCTTTTCATCCCTTCTGTTTCTTTTCTATCTGCTGCTTCCTCGAGTCTCTGCAAGTGCAGAGCGAGTTGTTGGAAAAAAGATGAAAGAAAGCTGAGATTTACGGTCGCCCTCTCCGTCTCGGAGAAGGTGTTCAATCTTTTTAATGTCAGCCCCATCCAGGACAGAATATGCATTCTCTTTTATTCTCCCTCGTATAGGGGATATTTCCTCGCCTTTAAACCTCGCTCTTATGTGCCGGAGTAGAGACGGTGTATTAGAAGCCATCAAATCCTCTAAAGCAGTTTTTTCATAGTCCATTTCTTTGAGCTCCTGATGTGCAGAGAGGTTGGAAGAAGCTGAAATTGCCCCACCATCTGCTGTAAAACGCTCTTTGAGCCTGAACTGTTGCCCTTAGAACCTTTTTACTCCGTAAGATTAACTATTTCGCTGCAAGTGAAATTAAAAGAACACAGTTACATCTTCATTATGCTCAGTATACTCAGGGCTCGGTGTGCTGAGCCTTTTGTTCCACTTTCAGGCGCAACTCGGATGCATTCTGCTCACGCGTTCTTTACGACACTGACATACACGCAGTTTATGGGCCGAGCGCTCAGACAAAAATGCATTTGAGGGAGGATCAAACGAAACGTGGGAGGATTGCACAAAAAATGGGTGGAGCTATCAGGAGCTGCAGCGTTCTGCTTGATTTACTGTGGGTGTTTTTTCGCCTAAAACTAGGCCTAAATTAGGGCCTTTAACAGGGGCGCTTTGAGGGTGCACGTTTAGAAGAGTTCACATAAGAGTTCACATTTTTTCACTGTATCACTGCCGTCGGAAGAAAACCTCGTATCTCCAAAATGGTAACTTTACAGGAGAAGGAAAAAACATGCTTTACTTTTAATGTGAGTCAGTGGAACCAGACGTCTTTCCAAGTCTGTTTGGGTCGTTTCTTTTGGTCCATTCATCATGAAATTTACACACAGTATAAAGAGCGACAGGCTTTTTCAAATTATGTCAAAAACTGAAAAACGACGAACACAGAGATACAAGGTTTTTCTTCCGACAGCTGCAACACTATTATATGCAAAGTTATCCTAATATTATGATTCTGGTCTTATTTACAAAACTGTAACAGACATTTCAACCGATTTTTTTCTTGTTGCAAGAACCAAGAACAGACCTAATCCTAATAAACTGTGTGACAAAGTGTGACATCAGCGACGCGGCAGTGAGACTGCTACCACTTGAACGCCTTAATGATTCACCCATGCAGTGTTTGAGGTGTGGAATAAAATTCCACGGATATATATATTTTTTTTAAACAGTCAAATCAACTACTTTTCTCAATAAAACATAATTCAATAGTTGCATGATGAGCATGACAGCTTTCTCACTTTTGATTGCAAAATGTGTAGTTAGTATTTTGTTTGATGACAAATTATAGAACTTCAGGTTCTGTTTCATTTTCATGTTTTGTTTTTTTTTAGAATATTTCTCTGATTTGCTGCATGGCGCATCCGGCATGCGGAAAAAATAGGCTCTTCATCTGTTTTCTAAATGCTTCGCGCTGCTGTGCTGCGTCTGGTACACACTGCCGCACTGCTCGCTCAGCCTGAACACTAACCTGTCAACATGAGCACTGACATGAAAAGCAGGTCATCCATGTTGCTCATGCCTCATTGTGTAGTATCCCATATGCAGTAGAAATAAACACAATATGGCCAAAAGTATGTGGTAATTATTGAGTTCGGGTGTTTCAGCCACACCCACTGCTAACAGATCTATAAAAACAAAGCATATAGCCATGCAGTCTCCATAGACAAACACTGTCAGTAGAGGGTCGCACTGCTGAGCTCAGTGACTTTAAACATGGCACTGCCATAGGATGCTGCCTCTGCCACAGATCAGTTTGTGAAGTTTCGGCTCTGCTAGATCTGTCCCAGACAACCGTAAGTGCTAAAATTGTAAAATGGAAGTGTCAATGAGCAACAGCAGCTTAGTCACAAAGCGGTAGAACACACAAACTCTCACAGCGGAGCTGCTGAGTGCTGAAGTGCATAAATATCATCCATCACTCAGTACAGAGTTCCAAACCGCATATAGAAGCAACATCAGCACAAGAACTGCACATCAGGAGCTTCATGAAATGGGTCTCCATGGCTGAGCAGCTGCACACAAGCCTAAGATCACTATGCACAATGCCAAGCATTGGCTGGAGTGGTGTAAAGCGCCGCCACTGGACTCTGGAGCAGTGGAAACGTGTTCTCTGGTATCTGGTAGTCTGGTGGACGAATCTACGTCCTGGAATGCACAGTGCCAACAGTAAAGTTTGGTGGAGGAAGGATGATGGGCTGGGGCTGTTTTTTAGGGCTGGGGCCCCTTCCAGTGAATTTTTAAAATAGTAATTTTCAGTAGTAATCCTACTTTTGGTGACTAAAGAAGATTTTGGAGGACAATGACAAGACCAATAAAAATGGTCCAAAATTACTGTTTATTTTTGTTTATTTGTTTACATTACATTTACATTAACGAGTGTCATTTTTATCATTTTGAAGTGCGAAGTGGGATTCGGGGTTTAGGTTTAAGCTGTTTTGTGAATCTTTATTTTGCTTTGTGTTTGCAGGCAGTGCGGCTACAGCAAAGCCAACCAGGAGGGGGACGAGGAGCTCTACTTCCAGTGTGAGTATTTCACTGCACAGCACACAGTGGGGAGCACTGCGATCGGCTAGAAATGTGGGATTGCTTGCGATATGAATATCCCAAAGGCCAATACTGCGACACTGTGCGGCCGTACAGATGCAGACAGACGCATGAATGAAGTCTGAGAATAAAAATAAGAAGAAATGTAAGACTGAGCAGACAGAGATAAGGATGGGGTCTGTGTTCATGTACGATCGCTTTAATGGATTTATATGAGCATGAAGATGCTTCACAGAGACACTGTAGCTACTGACAGGTAGAGAGAGAGAGAGAGAGAGGCAGAAAAAGACTGAGGATTTGAAAGAATGACAGATTAGCGTGGCATCATACGGCACTGCTTAAGTCTGTGTCTGTGCTTTAGGGAATTAGGGCTGGCTGTATGTTGTCACTATAATAATGTGATGAACTGTTTTTCTAAGAAGACGATGCTGCATGGATCATAAAGACCAATTATAGAGAGCCTGTAACACCTACCAGTGTCTACTAACCAGAGTTTTACATTTTCATACGTTTTTATTTTGTTTAGTTTTTTATTTTGCTATTTAATGATACATTAATAGTTTCGTTTTTTTTTCGAAAATGGTTTATTTATTGTTGCATCTTTATTGAGTTTCAGCTCAAACAGGCTCAGACTTGGTTATGGACATCCAGGCTATCTCTAGAAGAGTTCATAAGTTTTCAGCTCCTGAATGAAGAAATGCAGCGCTCTACAGAGTGTAGATTAGCCTGCCTACAGTCTCCATTTGTCCATTTTGTAAGGACGTCTTTTTTGCCCTTAAAGATTTTATGCCTGTTTGTTTTTATTCAGTACGATCAACACAGTGGAATTCACTTAAAAAAAGCAGCGTAGACTCGCCATGTTTTAGCGTCTTTCTTTCAGTTTAAAAAAAAAAATACTACACAGAGCTGCTTTAACTCTGTGGAAGCAATAAGCATTGACAGTCGTACAAATACAGTATTATTAGTTGACGAGTCACGTGTCCCATTCATTTACAGCACTGCAGCATATAAAATACATACAGGTCTCTGCATTAACCTCCACAATGAACTCCCAAACACCTGCTCATACACGAGACATGCACCAACATGAGAACTGCACAAATCCACAATGAATAATTATATATTCCTGAAATCTCCCATCAGTTTACTATTATTTATCAGAGGCTAACTTTTACTTATGTATATGAGTGTGTGTGTGTCTGTGTGTGTGTGTGTGTGTGTGTGTGTGTGTGTCTGTGTGTGTGTGTATGTGTGTGTGTGTGTGTGTGTGTGTGTGTGTGTGTGTGTGTGTGTCTGTGTCTGTGTGTGTGTGTGTGTGTGTGAGTGTGTGTGTGTGGGTGTGTATGTGTGTGTGAGTGTGTGTGTGTGTGTGTGTGTGTGTGTGTGTGTGTGTTATCCATCATGCACTGCACAAGTAGCTCAGCAGCTTTTCACTGTTATACAGTCATACTCTCTCCCTCTTTCTCACTCTCTCCATCTCGCTTTCTCTCATCTGCCTCTCCTTTTTTATCTCTCTTTCCGTCTCTCGCTCACTTTGTCTCATTTTCCTTCATTCTCTTGGTCTTTTTCTCTTTTTCTGTCTTAATTTTCACACGGTCTCTCTTTTTCCCTCTGTCTCACCCCTCTTTCTTTCTGTATGTCTCTCATCCACTCTCACATTCTCTCACTTTCTCTCTCTGCTGCCTCTTCACCACTATTTCTTTGAAAGATTTGTTTATCCATCTGATCGACAGCTCTCCTTTATAGCCCACACCCCCTCACTGTTAGATCACTCATTACAGAATTAGCTCGTGTCTGCCTTTAACAGCGTTTAGTTTTTACCACGTCGTGTTTGTGACTGACTGTTATTCAAGCAGGAAAATACAGGGGGTTGTGTGTTACATCGAATAACATCACGGCTGTGGTGATCACCTTCAGCTCGACCAATATATGACATCACAGCTGTGGTGATCACCTTCAGCTCGACCAATATATGACATCACGGCTGTGGTGATCACCTTCAGCTCGACCAATATATGACATCACGGCTGTGGTGATCACCTTCAGCTCGACCAATATATGACATCACGGCTGTGGTGATCACCTTCAGCTCGACCAATATATAACATCACGGCTGTGGTGATCACCTTCAGCTCGACCAATATATAACATCACGGCTGTGGTGATCACCTTCAGCTCGACCGAATCACAACAGTGATGTTATTCACCACAACACACGACCTCCAGGGTTCTACTGCTTTTGTAACAGCTTTACTAAACAAAGAACAAAGTGAAGCAAAGTAGCGTTGAGCATTGTCCTGAATGTGCTTTAATATCACTAATTCCTTCCACCACAAAAAGTAGTCCCCCTCTGTGTTACAGAGCTTGTGTTTCACAGCCCACATCTTAAAACTGGTATTTGCTACCATTATAATAATGATATATTTATGTATACGAGTAGCAAGAGCCGCTATAGAGACAGCCAAATAGGAAAAGGAAGGAAAAAAAACCTACTTTACTTTTAGTGTAAGTCAATGGAACCAGACAGAAACCAGAAGTAATTTTGGGCCGGTTTTGGGCCGAAGCTGGTTGTGGGTGAAGCAGATAAACAATCAGCTTTACTGAACCTGGATTTGAGCGTCTGTTTTTTGGATTTTGAGACATTCAGGGGGTCCAATAAGTTAATCGGGGGTCCCGGACCTCTCACGACCCCTGTATTCGCACCTTGAGAAGGCTGAGCATTGTCATTTGTCTTGTAGCTCCAGTGCTAAAACTAAAGAAATAAACAGACTCCAAACATTTGGATTTTGGCTGAACCGTTGCTTCAAGTGCAAATTTATGAATGTGGGTCTGTTTGTGAGTAAAAGCGCTCAGTAAGTAGCCTGTGGGTCAGTCTGAGCTAATCAGAGCTACATGAGGCAAACACAAACAGGAGCGAGGGAGGAAGTGGACTGTGTCCAGCCCCTAATCCAGCACTAATGGGAGAGTAAGCATCACGCAGGGTGGCCTAGAAAAGACTCATTCCAGTGGAAGAAGCCTTCGATCCACAGCTGCCGTCACCAGACACAATCGAGAAATCTTAATTTGCTTCGTCACCGAAGTCTGACTTAAGTGTGCACACATGTGAGGTCAGGATCAATAAGCCGTTATGAGGCAGTGAAGGCAGGGCCTCGGCCCGGTTCGGGTCGATCTTAACTTGTAATCACATTTCAGACACGCATCTCAGCTCTCCTCCGCTTCCTCCACTGAGAGAACACTCAGGAGCCCGGCCGTATATGTGCCCCCTCCAGAATGAGTGACCACGGCGCCGCAGGGTCATTAGAGGGCATTTACATAGGCAAGAATGAGAGAAATGTAGTTGCTGACATTAAAGGTAGTAAGTGACGCTAATCCAATACACTTTTTGTCAGATTCAGTCTGTTCTGTGTGCGCTGGAAAAAAAAAGCCCTAAACGAGAAACACTCAGAGTATCTTGGACCAAAAGACACAACACGTATTCCAGAGACTCAGCAACAGGGGGCGCTCAATTATCTATTTTGAAAACAAATTTGAGCAAACATGTTTAACTTAAATATTACATTGACAATAATGAAATAAGGCATTGCATTGTTGGTAAGTTATTACATTATTAGGCTTATTTACATTTTTGATGAAGTTCAGTACGAATGTTTTTTACATTATTGGGAAATTATTATAATATTGAGTAAATGAGTAATCAGTAATGATAGTCCACAGCAGGACAGACGCGGTGACGCTGCAAAGTGAAAATCATCAGTTTATTCAGAAGCTGAAACTCTCTTCCACATTTAACTCGATGTTTGTAGATCGGTTTGAGCTGCTTTTGGAGATTTTGATCCTTTTGACATTTGTGAAAAAGTTCTATTTGCTGCTCCGTCATCATGGTTGTTGTCATGCGACCAGCAGAGGCTGACCGTGGTTGGTCAAAGTTTTTGTTGCCAAAATCAGCGCAAATAAAATAATGTCGCATTTTTACTGTCTGATAAATTGTGTGGTGTGCAAGATGGCGTCAGTTATACATGAGATCGAATGAATTTACTGTCGTCAGAATAAATCACACGAACAAATCACGTTTGGTGTGCAGCCTTTAGAGCAGGGTGCACACTGTGCAGTTTGTTTTTTTTTAACTTACCCAAATCCTTGTTGTCCTCTCCAGTCAAGATCCCGACCAGAAGGACCTACATTGACCCCGAGACGTGTGAAGATCTGCTGCAAGCCGTTCACGCCTTCGCAAAGGAGCTCGACAACTCCAGCGTCAAGATCGAGAGGATCGTTCACACCGGTACGACCTCTCTCCTTCAACTTTCACTTACAGAGCACCAGTGTGACGCCCTGTATCTGTTACTGGACCAACATCAGCAGAAAATGCTGGACTGGACATCAGAATAAACTTAAACTGATCTGATTCTGTAAATTGAAGCGTAACATTACAGCAGAGTAGGTCACGTAGTAACAGTAGCCTCATTTAGCCTGTGTGAAAGGTGTGAAATGGTTCAGATGTCTTTACAGTGGTGGTGATAGGAACCAGGGGTCGCCATGACTACAACACAAATATAGACATTTTATTTACTATCCAGAACCACCAGTGAACCTACACGAGTCTTCTGGGTTTATATGGAATGTTGATGATGGAAAATAGTGGAAAATCTGAAATAATAAGTTTTCTTTGGGGACTATTTTGCCTCACAGCGCCCTGCATGTATCCCTCCACCATGAATGGAGTTTAAGTTCTCTAAACTATCATAAAACAGTGTCTCAGTCATCAGGCAGTGAATTCATAACCATTTCATGTAGGAACTTTCTGTGAGGGAGCTTTTAGAGGTGGACGTCTGGTTCCTATCACCACCACTGTGAACAGATCTGATTTGGACGGAGCGTTTCACACCGAACCACTCTGATTGACTTTGTTTACATGGTAACCATTTAAATATGCAGAAAATATTGAAAAATCAAGGCAATTCTTATTTGAATTAAAGCTCCTGGCATCAATGCGGTATCTGCTGATTCTCAAAGTGGACTGATTAATTTTCACTGTTTTAGCCTCAATCAGGACGTTTTGTGAATCTGCACTTTTCGCTGAGAGCCGATTGTGTCGCTGTAGGTATTTTTCATGATTCCCACGTCTGATTGGATGAGGAAGCTTCTCTTCTTTGATTTGTGGTTTCCAGCCAGGTTTTACTGCAGTCGTTATTTATTCAGAAGTCAATTTCGATCTCTTTTTTTCACGGTAGGCCTGTTTTATTGGCGCATGTATAGATTGAGAACACAGGCATTGATCCGCCTACATGTAATTTATCCCTAAAAAAACACCCTCTTTGGATTTTAATTTGTAGACGACCTTGCATTTGTTTTTGCTAAGTGCGCCTGGTCAGTCAGTCTGTACATCGCCCTCTGTAGGTGAATTTGGGGAGGTGTGCCGTGGCTGCCTGAAGCTGCCCAGTAAGCGAGAGCTGCCAGTGGCCATCAAGACGCTTCGGGCCGGCTGCTCGGACAAACAGCGCCGATCCTTCCTGTGTGAGGCTGGAATCCTAGGCCAGTTTGACCACTCCAACATCGTCCGACTGGAGGGAGTCATCACCAGAGGTGAGCAGAGAGGAACTCAACTACACCACTGTACTGTGATTATTTCAGCAAGACAATGTCAAACCACATTCTGCATGTATTACAGCAGCTTTGCTCTGTATTAAAAGAGTTCGGGTGCTAAACTGACCTGTCTGCAGTCCAGACCTGTCAAGACTGAAAACATTTGCCGCATTGTGAAATGAAAAATACGACAAAGGAGCCCCTGAACTGATGAGCAGCTGAAATCCTGTATCAAACAAGAACAGAAAAACATTTCACTTTCTAAACTACAGCAGTGTCTCCTCAGTTCACAATCGCTTACAGAGTGTTGATAAAGAAGAGGTGATGAAACACAGTGGTAAACAGGCCCCCGTCCCAACTTTTATGAAACATCATATATATATATATATATATATATTTCTGAATATATATATATATATATATATATATATACAGAGCCGGTTTGGAGGCTGTGGAGAATTACAGAGCCGGTTTGGAGGCTGTGGAGAGTTACAGAGCCGGTTTGGAGGCTGTGGAGAATTACAGAGCCGGTTTGGAGGCTGTGGAGAGTTACAGAGCCGGTTTGGAGGCTGTGGAGAGTTACAGAGCCGGTTTGGAGGCTGTGGAGAATTACAGAGCCGGTTTGGAGGCTGTGGAGAGTTACAGAGCCGGTTTGGAGGCTGTGGAGAGTTACAGAGCCGGTTTGGAGGCTGTGGAGAATTACAGAGCCGGTTTGGAGGCTGTGGAGAGTTACAGAGCCGGTTTGGAGGCTGTGGAGAATTACAGAGCCGGTTTGGAGGCTGTGGAGAATTACAGAGCCGGTTTGGAGGCTGTGGAGAGTTACAGAGCCGGTTTGGAGGCTGCGGAGAGTTACAGAGCCGGTTTGTTTTTAAGTAAATGATACCAACTTTTATCCATAATCAACATCCTCGAGAACTAAACTCCACTGTTTAGCAGTCAGTGAAGCCCCGATGAAGAAAGGAGCAGAGGGAAGACAGGAGGGTAGAGAAAATAGAATAGAGGGTTGAAACCCGGAGAATTTACTCAGAGAAAGAGAAAATAAAGGTTGGGAGGGATGGACAGATGCAGCGTCTCTGCTGAAATAGATGGAGGACGATGATGGATTGGACGTCCGTCTGCCAGGTAGCGCGAGAAAAGAAAATTACAGGTTTAACAAACAATGATGTGTTAATACAGAAAAAAGAATGAGTTCTGTGTTCTGCAGACCAGACAACATACAATGAGTATGAGGAGGAGCGAGGAGTGAGGACAGATGAACATACCTGTGATGAGACAGGAAGAGAGAGATCAGGAGGGACGGATGGACGATCCCACATGATTCAACTAGACAAAGGAGACGGACGTATGGAGCGAACAAAAGAAACAAAAGTGGACGAATGATTCTGCCTTCAGGAGGAAAGTGAGTGTGGGTGTTATCTGCATCAACACATCAGCCGTATCTCTGAGGTTATCTGTCTCACAAAGGACGGAGCCGGAAGAAAAGGACGAAAGAAAAATGAAAAGACGCTACAGTGAACATCAGCCTCACCGAACGGGCTTCAGAAATATTTATCCTGAAATGGAGCGGTGGTCCGAGGAGACAAAGCCAGATGGATCACGTGGGCTCCTCTAATTGAACTCTCCCTTTCTGTTTCTCTCTCACCCCCCACCTCCCTCCTCTGTCTCTGCTGTGAGTCACGTTTTGTGCCAAAGCTTGAAATGAATTGAAAAGTGATATTACACTGATATTAGTCTGGGGCGCTGTGTATTTTCAGATGAGAGATGGATGGATGGAGAGATGCGGTGCTGAAATAGATGTGATCCATCTCGCTTTGTCTCCTAACAGCGCCGATCCTGATTCTGAGTGATTCTTGGTGCGTTTTAATGAATGCGATGGTATTGATTTTAGACGCGCAGACGAATAAAAATGAGGAACAGAATTTTTTACCCACCAAAAAGTTTCCCTAACCGCACTGCCTTACTCAGAGAGAGGAAACATTTTCATAAACATATTTACAAATATTTTTATTTAATAATATACAGTCATATGCAGAATTTTGAATGTTTAAATATGTTTTTGTTGATTTTCTAAGTGACAATAAGTTAACACATCCTGTATGGAGAACACAGTTAAATATGACATTTTTAGTGCAGAATTATATTCATTTGCCGAGTTTAACATGTTGGGGGAATAAAAACCAATATAAACAGTGCTGTAACCTCTGCTCGACTTTGTTTTCCCCCAATGTGTTACATTCAGAAAATAAAGTTATTATCCATTAGATATGCAGAAGTTTGATCTCTGTAGAACATATTGCACATTGTTTAATATATTTTAAATGTATGTATGAAGTGATTTTGAGTGTATTAAACCCAGACTATAAATCAGGCAACCAGCAGCCTGAAATTTACAGAGAAAAGGGTCATTCTGAAGTTTTTAAAGTAGACGAATGCTAATTATCCCTTTTCACCTCAGCTAATGTTACTGTACTGTAACGTTTGTCACATTGTAACGTATTTCACATCGAGCCTTTTAACTGTTACACAGTGAGTTTATATATATATCTGCTTGAGTTCAGAAACACCCACAGGCGATGAGCGATCAGCAATTTGAGCAACAAGATGCGAACGATGTGAACGTAGGGCAACATTAAAATGAGCAATATAAAACATTATAATTTAATATTGATAACTTAGAAATCTCTAAAAACAAATCAGATACTTTATCCTTAACCTGAGTGTCACTTTAAAAGTTTAACTTCATTGACTAAAGTTGTTTGTGTAGAGAGAGAGAGAGAGAGAGCGAGTGAGTAAGTGGGTGAGTGGGGGTATTCACAGGTGTCTCAGTGTGTAGTCATTGAGCAGATGTGCAGTGTGGGGTAATTGGCCCTCCAGACACAGCGGGGCCGCCCCACCGTCTCTAATCTGTCCCTCCGTCTCATCGTCCTCCATCTGCAAATGACTCTCCTCCTTCCTCTTCTCCTCCCTCGCTCTCTCTGTCTCACTGTGCGCTCACCTGTTGACTCTAGACCCCCTCTGATGCCCTTGGGGGCAGAGCTGGAGCTGAGAACCCAGCAGGGCCTGCCCAAATAAGCCTCTGGTCAGGCATGTGCGCCCCCTGCTGGAAAGGTGGTTATTAAGGCCTGTTCACACCAAGTAAGATGTTTTTGGATGAGAAAAGTGCATGTGATTTTAAATGTGGTAGGACCTTCACACCAAGTCTGACGAATTTTTAATGTAAATACTGAAAACACGGGAAGAAATGGATTCCCACGCCGACCCACACACACCTCTTAAACACCTGCACTCTGTGTGTTCTGCAGGTAGCACCATGATGATCGTGGTGGAGTGTTTGACCAACGGCGCCCTGGATTCCTTCCTGCGGGTCAGTACCTAAATACATCCGATTCATTCTTTCACCATTTCAAACGCTCTCTCTCTCATTAGCACTGTTCCTGCTGAAGTGTTAATCGGTGTCAGCAGGTTTAGTTTCTGCTCTTTATGCTGTTGAACTTTTTTTACTAAATAAAGTTTGAGTTAAAATTAAACTCAGTGTGTTTGTTTGTGCATTTCTCTGTGTTTTATGCAGAAACACGAGGGTCAGCTGAGCGTGCTGCAGCTGGTGGACCTGCTGAGCGGAGTGGCCTCTGGGATGAAGTACCTGACGGAGATGGGCTTCGTCCATCGGCGCCTGGCTGCCCACAAAGTGCTGGTCAACAGCAGCCTGGTCTGCAAAGTGTCCGGCTTCAGACCTCTGCAGGAGGACAAGATAGAGGCCATTTACACCACACTGGTGAGTGACCAGCACTGTGAACAGTCATTTGGTGCTTGGAGTGAAGAGCTTTTCTTTAATTTACTGAACTTAATGTAACAGAATCATCACCACCAGTATTAAAATGAACTTAGTAAGACAAGTCAGCATATTGTAAAATGCCTGCAGTACTGGGAAGCTTCTACAAGATTTTGAGTGTGTCTGTGGGAATTTTTGCCCATTCATCCAGAAGAGGGTCAGTCAAGTTCTTCCACACCAAACTCACCCAGTCAGGCCTTTATGGAGCTGCTTTGTGCTCTGGGGCTCAGTCATGCTGGAACAGGAAAGGTTCTTCCCCAAACTGTTCCACAAAGTTGGAAGTGTATAATTGTCCAAAATGTCTTGGTGCTGAGTCATTAAGATTTCCCTTCACTGGAACTGAGGGTTCTAGATCAACCCCTGAAAAACAGCCCCATATCATCATCCCTCCTCCACCAAACTCTACAGCTGGCACAGTGCAGTCAGGCAGGTAACGTTCTCCTGGCATTCGCCAAACCCAGACTCGTCCATCAGACTGACAGATAGAGAAGCTGATTGGTCACTCCAGAGAATACGTTTCACTGCTCCAGAGTCCAGTGGCGGCGCTTTACTCTGCTCCGTCCGACGCTTGGCATTGTGCTTTCTGATCTTAGGCTTGTGTGCAGCTGCTCAGCCATGGAAACCCATTTCGTGAAGCTCCTAATGTGCAGTTCTTGTGCTGATGTTGCTTCCAGAGGCAGTTTGGAGCTCTTTAGTGATTCGACAGAGGAGGAGACTGTGCTCTTCAGCACTCGGCGGCCCACTCTGAGTTTGAGCTGTCAATGCTTCCATTTCACAGTGGCACTTACAGTTGTCTGGGGCAGATCTAGCAGGACAGAAATTTCACAAATTTGTGGCAAAGGCAGCATCCTATGGCAGTGCCATGTTTAAAGTCACTGAGCTCAACATTACGACTCTCACACTCCCATGCAAAAAAAAGTCCAGAGTATAATGGACTGAGTATAATTTACTGATGGTTCTGGCTGGTCAGAGTCCAGATTTAAACCCTATAGAGAATATTTGGTCTCATATTAAACTCAAACCAGCTCAGCAGTGTTTCTCAGCTGTGTGAAGCCGTCAGTGCTGAGTGGATCAATACTGACTCCTCTTTCTGTAAAAGACTGTCTGAACATTCACACACTAAACTACAGCACTTAAAGAATTTCAGGAGAATGTATACTAAGTTGGCTAATTTACTGATTTGTTGTTAAGACCATTAAAAGCTTGTTTTGCCATTTTGCACAGGAGTGCATACACACACACACACACTCACACACACACACACACACACTCACACACTCACACTCACACTCACACTCACACACTCACACTCACACACACACACACACTCATACACACACACTCACACACACTCACACTCACACACACACACACACACACACTCACACACACACAGACACACACACACAGACACACACACACTCACACAGACACACACACACACTCACACACACACACTCACACAGACACACACACACACACTCACACAGACACACACACACACACACGATTTTATAATAAAATATCAAAGTACTCAGATTATTTGTTGTTGAATATTCTCTCTGTGCCTCCCAGCACGGTGGGAAGAGTGTGGTGTTGTGGACGGCTCCGGAGGCGATTCAGTATCACCGCTACAGCTCGGCCTCAGACGTGTGGAGCTTCGGCATCGTCATGTGGGAGGTGATGTCGTTCGGGGAGCGACCTTACTGGGATATGGGCAACCAAGACGTAAGCGCATTCATCTCTGCCTTTCTGCCTCTGACTTTCATGTCTTTTCTCCTTCTGCTCCGTCTTTTTACTCCTGCCAGTTTTGTATTACTCTTCTCTCTCTGTTGTGCCACTACTGCCCACCTCCTCGCACTTCATCCATCTAAATCCTCTGCTTTCATCTCCTCTCTCTCTGTCGCTCACACTCGGTTACTCCTGCTCATGGGGGGGTGAGCCGTGTGAAGCTGAGAGTTCTGCATTGCTCTTAAAGCTGAAAGAAGGCGAATTTTAAAGGGCCATCAAAGAGAGTGTGCACTTTAAAGTTTCCTCTGCAGCGTGACCAATCAGAGCCACTGTTTATTCCGCACACAGCCGTCTCCCTGACCGCGGCCGGCTCTCCGCTTACACTCCAGCTAAACGACACTTCAGTGCTAAACGTAATTGGTAACATTTACAGCAAGAAGAGCTCCTTAAATCACGGCCAGCATCTCCTATTCAATGAGAAAACGCTTTCTGCCACAGCGGCGAAAAGTCTCCCAACTCGCGGCCCAGTCGGATTCCACTACAGCAGTGAATAGTCTCCCAACTCATGGCCCAGTCAGATTCCACTACAGCAGTGAATAGTCTCCCAACTCATGGCCCAGTCAGATTCCACTACAGCGGCGAAAAGTCTCCCAACTCGCAGGAATTTGTTAATAACTAAAAATAATACACAGAAGCCTCGTCACGGACAGCTCTGTAAGTGCGCTTGAGCTGAAGAATACAGAATCCAACTCTTTTTCATCCACGAGCGTCACGCAGGAATATGGACGCAACAGATTACACACACGATTGCGCCCATTGAGTGTAACCTGTAGAGTCCATTCACCTCCGTGACAGGTGGACACGCAAAGGGGAGCCAGATTCTGCCAGAGTATAGCAGAGTGTAGCATCAGAATGATGTTGAAGCTGTTATTTTAAGGTAAAACTGTTAAACGTTTCTTTAACAGATAAAAAATAGTAGTTATGGGAAAAGGTATTTTCTTCCATTTTTCTGTCTAATAAGGTAATTAGGTGATGAGCGAGTGAGAGAGATGGAGAGAGATAACGAGGCACTAAGCTGTGAAATGATAAGAGTATGGAAGTAGATTAGCGTGGGGGGGATTATGATCAGACAAGACACTCTTTCATGAGAAGCTTTATCCATCCAGAGAGAGAGAGAGAGAGAGAGAGAGAGAGAGAGAGAGAGAGAGAGTGTTTGAGCAGAACAGCTACTGACGAGAAAATCACATTAAGAATCTTTTTGTTATCTGGAATTAAACCGCGCCGCGTTGGCTAAGCCATGATTATGATTTTGATGGCACAAAGGGCTCCTGCTCTTTCTAAATAGAGGTGAAATGGCTTCATTGTGTGGTCTCGTTCCTCCGTGTTTGTGGCCCCGTGCGGCATAGACGGGGGTCAGAGGTCAGCGCAGGGCCCAGCCAGGGGCCACTGGAGTGTATGAAAGGAGAATAATTACTTTTGTTCAGCCTCCGTCACTCCTGAAGGTTAAACCACGCTCGCTTTACATGCTGTAATTGAGGCCTTTTCAGGTTCTGAACACTGTCGGTATGATGGTGATATTCAGCGCCTGCGTCGGGCTGACCGATCGCGTCTGAAGAATCCCGGATTAGTGTGTCGGAACAAAGCTGCGTCTGAAACGGGCCGAATGGCTCAGTGATTAGATTACGGAGGTGCTTATGAGACGAAGGAGTCACTGTAAAAGAGACTTTAGCACCAAATACAGTCAGTAAAGACTGAGATGTTGCAGTAAACTGACACCTTTAAACCACAGAGCTTATACTACTGCCCAGTGCCCTCTGGCATTCGTGAACAAAAAAAAAATTAATAATATACACACACACACACACACACACACACACACACATATATATATATGAGAGAGAGAAATAAAACTTTAATCCAATTAAACAGGCCATGCAATTGGTCAGTGTTCTACAAGTATGCTTAGAAACATGTACTGCACACAAACAAACGCACACACACATATTTATATGTAGATATACACACACAGGACACTGTAACATACAGATGCTTACATACTATTGTATTTCATGTTGATTTTCTAAGTGTTAACTTATTAAGACACACCTCTACAGACACTTCAGCACATTTTATTGCTCAATTACTGTGTACCTGCTGAATTTGACATTAGGAAAAAAATAAAACATGACATGGCCTGTGCAAAAGTTATGGTACATTTAATACTGTACGTTTTATGCTTTTCCCCAATATATTAAAATAGAAATAAACAGATATTTTGTGCTAAATTTCCTGAAAAATGACCCATTTACCTGTTAAACTTGTTTGCACTTAAAGCAGTATTTTTACCTATAGATACTTACATATTGTTGCTGCTGGAAACCTCGATGTCTGTTTTATTTATTTATTTATTTTACATAATTTGAAAACCCTTTATACTGTGTCCAAATTTAATGTTAAACGGATCAGCAGTAATGCTCCAGAATGACTTGATTAAAGAGTTAATAAAGTCGCTCTAACTTCCACTGGAAGTTCAGGAAGTTCTTCTTCCTCTTAAGTTATTTATTTTAATGATATATACGATACATATGGGACATATTACATAAAGGCAGCTGCATGTAAAACACACAGTACGGCCCAATGTCCCAGGAAATGAATGCAAAGTTTGCATGTGTGTTACAGGTCATAAAGGCCATAGAAGATGGTTTCCGGTTGCCAGCCCCTCTGAACTGCCCACCGTCTCTGCACCAGCTGATGTTGGACTGCTGGCAGAAGGAGAGGACTGAGAGACCCAGCTTCGCCCAGATCCACAGCGCCCTCAGCAAGACCATCCGCAGCCCCGACAACATCGGCTCCTCCACACTCGCGCGCAGGTACGACACCTTACCCAGCGGTTTATACAGAGCCTTTACACCTCAAAACTATCACAAAACAAAGCACTACATAATGGACATTTTTTTCAATAGACAAAAGAATATAAATGCGCATAAACATTCAGCTGCGAAATTATATCGTATAGTTAAAAACTGAGTTTATGAACACACTAAAACATGGTGTGTTCTGCTGTGCGTCGCCTGTAAAACCTGAAATCATCATTTAAAAATCAGAGGAGTCGAGTTTTTCACACCACATCGTACGTCTTTACGTATTAACGTCACACGCAGACTCAAAAAGAAGGTCCGGCTCGATGTGTAGATCTCTAATGATCTGAAAACCAACATTATACTGATGAAGATGTGATGACAGTAGTAGATGATTCACTCACATCCTCAGAGACGCTCCTTCACCAAGTTTAGACTGAGTTCACTCTGAATTCTCTTTCGGTCATCAGATTAATCTGCTCGTGGGGGGCCGAAGCACAACGTACGCTACAAAAAGCTCTTCTAAACGTTGCATGCAGTTACACACTTCCACCAGAGAGGTCCCCAAATCCTATAGTGCAGCTTTAAGACTAAATAAAACAATAAAATATAAACAAAAACAATCGAAAATGTAGATGAATAAAAAACGGAATTGAATGCCATACTAACAATGTATGGTTTTAGCTCAGATTAAGCGCAACTAAGAGTGACGCCAGTAATTTGATGATTAAGTTAAAAGACTCTGTTAGGGATGTGTCAGTGTTCTATGTGTTCCTTATCCCTCGTTCTCTCTGTATTTCTAGGACCCTGGCCTCCTCCTCCATCTCTCTCGCTGAGAGGACTCTGCCCTCTTTCCCCTCGTTCAGCTCAGTAGGCGAGTGGCTGGAGGCTGTGGACATGGGCCGCTATAAGGACAACTTCACTGCCGCCGGCTACTGCTACTTGGAGTCCGTCGCCCGCATGACAGTCCAGTAAGTGCTGTGTGTCCGTTAGAAAGCGATTCTCATTCATACGTCAATACTTACCTAAATACCAGCTGCACAACATGGACAAAATACTCGCTGCAGATTTATACTGGATTAAAGTCACTGAAGTCTGAGTGAATTCCTGTGAAGACGTGACGTTTGTGTAAAAGCTGACTGTGTTTGTTCCTACAGGGACGTGTTAAGTCTGGGCATCACTTCTCTGGAGCATCAGAAGCAGATGCTGTCGGCCATTCAGACTCTCAGAGCACAAGTCATCCAGATGCACGGCCGCGGAGTTCAGGTCTAACACTGTCCAAACGCACTGGAGCGCTTTCAGGGTGTGGGGAGACAAATGGACCTCTGTTCCCATAGTGACCCAGTAGGACATCAACCAATAAGGAGGCAGGGTGAGGGGGCTGGATCATGTGACCAACCACGATTAGCACTGTTCTTCCTTTTTTTCCCTCTTTCTGTTCTTTGCTGTTTTCCTTAAACTTGGGTGAACACTGACCATTCCTGGGAGGCTCCAGCCGCGTGAACAAGGCCGCCTTTTTGTTGGACACCTCGGACGTCCACATCTCGTGTGTCGTTCTTTCCTGTTTTCCTGAAATGTGGGTGATCACTGTCTGCTCCTGGGAACCCCCCAATAATGAAGTAATGCTACAAGCACTGACCTATGACCTCGGCACAGTGGTCTAGCCTTTCAGTCCAACTCCAACAGCAAGCCTTTGTGACTAACTGACCTGAGAACAGCTAAAGGATGCTCCAAACGGCCCTGCCCACCAAGCTTGGTGAACTAGCTGGACGTTCTACCAGCCACTGGCCTTTCTCTGAAGTGGACTGAGGAGCATGTTGCCAAGTCATACAAGCAGGAAAGGACATCTAAACCTTCAGGAATAAAAAACTATAATCTTCTGATCTGATAGATCAAAAAAAAAAAGACTGTAAATCTTCTTATTTATCTCCCTCCCCTCCATCTGTGTCCGTCACTTTGATCAGTTTTCTATTTCTTGTTTATGTTCTCCACTCACTGCTGATATAGAACCCTTAATGTACACTTCAGACAGAAATGAAGGTTTAAGTTAGTACTGTTTATTATTATTATTATTATTATTATTATTATTATTACTACATCTTCACCACAGAAGATGCTTGCACTGTAAAATGAGAGACTCTCTCAATAGCCTGTATCATATTTATCAGAATATTTGCTTACGTTCTCTGGACACTTGCCGAAGCTCTTTTTGAATGGACCTGGCTGTGGACGCTTCCATGGACACAATGTGTGGAACCAGACGATAAAGCAGTATAATAAAATGTATCTTCCTACACGGCTGTTTCGTTTGATAAGTTTTGACGATGGTGGTCCTGGAACACATTTATAACAGCACTTTTAAAGGTGTGCGGGCGGTTGGCTGCAGCAGGTGGACACGCTTACAGACTTACACTGTAGTACGGACGCGCTCGTCCGATACGCTGGTTTTGGTTTTCTGTACTACAGCTGTTCTTCAGGAGGTGTTGAATGTGCTAGAACTACTGAATTTTGTTGCTTTTTGCTGTGTACAGTCGTGTGGTTGAGGAAAAATGGTGCAAATGTGAGATTATGCTTCCGAGATGTAACGACACGTCAGCGGAACTGCAGATCTGGATCAGCTAATCCAGTGTGAACGCTATTAGATTTAGATCAAAAAGTACCTTGAAAGCATAACACAGAAATACACGTGAAGGGTTTTTTTTCCAGATTCAGATTCAGATTCAGTTTGAAATGTACTTCAAACACAACGCGCAATCCTGGTGTGAACAGTTGATTTGAATCCTGATTCAGTTCGTAACATGCTTCAAATGCGTGACACGCTAACATGCGGTTAATTGGAATTCAGATCTCAAAATCTACTTAGGGAAAGCTATAAAGAAATGAGTCTGAACGTTTTATTTGAATTCAGATCAAAACATACTCTGAAAGTGCAACATAGCTCAAAGTCGTGTTAACAGTTAACTGGAATTCAAGTACCTCTAAAGTGCAACATGAAAACTCGTGTTCTGAATTCTGATTCAGTTTAAAATGTACTTCAAAAGCGCAACATTTTAAAACTGCCACGCGCAAATTAGTGTGAACAGCTGATTCAAATTCAGATTTAAATTTGTGTTTCAAGAGCAAAACATAAATGCACACATCTGGACTGTGAGACGTACACTGAGCTACATTCTTACAGATTGTTCTTCAAGGGTTCTTTAGTAAAGAAAATGGTTCTATACAAACCAAATAGGAACTATTTCTATGTTTTAGGGGAAATGGTTCTCCAGTTCTCTATAGCACCAAAAAGGGTTCTGCTATTGTTAACATGTTAAGCTTATAAAATAGAAAAATCCTTTTTGGTGCTGTATAGAACCATATACAATACATTCTCCATTAATCTGAAGAACATTTCACCATGCAGAGAACCATTTAATCTTGCAAATGGTTCTTTGAGTGTTCATGGTTCTACAGAACACCTTTTCTAAAGAACCACTGAAAAGCGTCCTTTTAGGGGTTTATGAAAAGTTCTTTCTTCTCTCTTTGGTGTCTGAACACTGAAGCGTCCTTGTTCGTTAGGCTGCAGTGAAAAGGTGGAATGTGGTAAATGGTAAGTACAATAAGAGCTTTTCTCTCTTTTCATTCTGTACATTCTCTCAAACTGAGACTCTCAGATACATAAAAACCCAGTGTTGCACTGTCTGACAGCCGTTTACTCCCCCGTGAATGATACTGTACCCTCTCTGTGTTTAATATATCAAGATCTCTGTTTGATACTGTAAATATGTATTTGAAAATGCAATCTATTTTTCTAATTTGTTTGAGAAACAATGCGTTGAATATATCTTCTCACTGTGTTCAGAAGTTCCATTGTTTGAATTAGGAGAGTAGCGACGAGCCTTGGTTGTTTGGAATAAACAGAAAAAAATGAACTTTTTTGTTTTCTTGGTTTGATTTTTTGATGATTTTTACCTGTTAGACGAGAGATGGCTGTTATAATACTGAGATGTGTTATTAAAAAATGCATTACAAGCACTCTCAGGTGTGCTGCTCTTTATTTTACGCTTTTTCATTCAGTTCAAACTGTTTTGCGTATAAATGTGCATTTTTTTTAGGACTTGGCTTCTGTTTTGTGATCTCTAGAATCACAGGGATGGAGAGGAATTCGTGCCAAATTGGAATTCAGTCACTACATGGAAAAACGTGAAATGCAATGCGCACGACGTTCCTGTTCCACAGTGAGGGGCGGAATACGAGCCAGAATATGAAATAATCCCTCTATTACACTGATTTCACTTCTCTTCACTGAACAGTACATGAGAATTCACATTTAAAATGAAATGCTGAATTTGTGTCAGAATTGAATACAATCCATTTTAAAAGGTAATCATCATGACTACACTGCTTTACACTGTGCAGCACTTTAAACAGCATTAAATCAGAGTGATGGTCTTTCGTTTTGGCATGTTTTCTGCATTTCACTGTTCTGGTTACATTTCAATGCATTTGAAGTACAACAAAAAAAGATGCATCAGAAATCAGTGTAATAGAGGTTTTCCTTTTATTCTGGCTAGTATTCTGTATCTCACTAGCCACGTTTACATGCAGCCTAATAGTCCATTAATAATCCGACTAGTAGCTCAATTGGAATAGAATACGTCCATGTAAACACCTCAGTCGGAATAGTCTAGTCCGATTGAGGCCATTCGGAATACAGTTCCTATCCGATTGAACGAGGTGGGTAATCCTGTAAATAATCTGTTAAATAGAAGAATAATATCCGTGTAAACGCCTGTATCTGATTACATTCCCTATCGGAAAGTTTAAGTCCGTTCTGATCATGTTCGTCACGTCATAGTGAAAGTTTATACCGTTCAACACGGCGGAGCAGAAACTGGTCTGCAGAGGAGACGAAGTTTATGCTCTGATCTTTAAAAGACGGCGGTGGGACGGACGTCCAGCTTATGTGTCTCAGAACACGACGTCTTCCTCTCGGCCTTCTTTAATAAGGGCATGTGAAGGACGTTTTCCTGAGTCTGTCATCATTTTAAAGTCATTAAAAACACAAGCACTGCTCACTGCTGCTCATCTCACTCTGACTGGTGATGTTCACTGTTGTGGCGTTTACTCCAAGTGGTTCTGTACAGATGTGCGTCATTTTGGATCTGATTACTTGTAGTGAGCATGTAAACGAAGATTTTCCATCAGACTGTTTATTAGAATGAGAATAAACACCTCAGCCTTAATCTGTAATCGGAATGTTTTCAATCGGACTGGCAAAAATCTGTGTAAACACAGCCAGTGTGGAACAGTAATGTCGTGTGTTTCACTGTTTAAAGCGCTGCACAGTGTAAAGCAGCATAGCTGTGACTTTTACATTTTAAAGGTGAATGTATTCAATTCTGACTCAAATTCAGCATCAGTTTAAATGTATATCCTCTTGTACTGTTGTTCAATAAAAAGGTGAAGACAAGTGAAAACAGAGGGTTTGATTTTCATTCTGGCTCGTATTCTGCATCTCACTACACTATAGTAATGTCATTACATTTCACTGTACTGACTATATTTCAACTTGGCACACATTCCTCTCCATACACTGGAGGCCCAATATTGAGCCACAATACTTGTGATTGTTATGATACAATTCTGTTGTGAAATGTAAGGATTTGTGCAATATGATTATGATTATATTGAAATTTATTACAAATTACGCCCCCAAAACTTTAATCTAAAGTTTACACTTTATCTTATCTTTCATTTCATTAAGTGTTTCGTCCCTCACAGAACAAAACATCGCATCTCCAAACAGGGCAGCTTTACAGGAGAGGGTAAACATTTAATAAAAGTCAATATAGAGAGTTTTGGACCTCTCCTATCTGTAATTTTGTAAAGAATGTAGACCCAATGTAAAGAACAGCTGGTGTGTAATAAAAATAAAAAGGACAAAAAAAAATTGGAGATACAAGGTTTTGTTCCAACAGCAATAGTTTTATTAAATTATTTAATCCCTCCAACGTTTACATATTTAATAGTAAAGAGTGATTATCCACTATGCTGTCCATCTGCTTCTCCCCACTGACAGAGGGCTTGTTTTCTGTACTAAACAGTGGACAGTGGTGCGTAACATTCTGTTTTTTGCTGAATAACAAAAATATCTGAGCAAAATTAATACACCTGTTCATACAAGCTACCGACACCATCACTGCTACAAATCAAATGAACGGTTTGTGAACAGTTTAGCCAAAGCAGAGTGTAAACGCTACAACTTACCCCATAGGTGAGGTTAACTGTAACAGACTGACCGCACATTCACACTAGTAGGCGATGAAGCGATAGGCGTCCAGTCACTTTCTGTGGAAGTACGCAATTTGGAGCTGTGATTTAGCGACTATGATGCAGTGAAGCAACAATCAAACTGATTGGCTCAAACAAAATCTTCCAACCAATATTAGACATGGGGGGCGGGGGGTGGGCTCTCTGAACTTTTAGTTAATTTCATCTCTAACCCCAAAATTATCACTCAAAATATGGAAGAGAAACTTGGTGTGAACAACTGATTTAAATTAAAATTCAGACTGAAATGTGTGTTTTTCAAAAGCCAAACATGTAAAGCCACACATCTGTCAATCTGGACTGTGAGACATACACTGGTCTATAAGATGATTCTTCTGGGGTTCTTTGGTAAAGAAAATGGTTCTATACAGAACCATGAACACTCAAAGAACCATTTTCATGATGAAATGGTTCTTCTGATTGATGAAGAATGTGTTGTGTTTGGTTTTATTTAGCACTAAAAAGGCTCTGCTATTGTTACGATGTCAAGCTTATAAAAGAGAAGAAGCCTTTTTGGTGCTTTATGGAATCATATACAATACATTCTCCATCAATATCAAGAATCATCTCACCATGCAAAGAACCATCCAACTGACTGGCTCAAACAAAATCTTCAGATCAATCGCAGACACAGGGGGCTCCGG